TCTTGACCTGAAATTACTCACATGAGCATGTAAAAATTTCTGGGAGGTGTTGTGTTTAACTAGACAACCAGGAAAAATTATTTTTTACTACAAACAAAGAAGAGAATATACATTTGGTAACAATTAGTGTTTTTTTAGTTGTTAAGTGCTGCAAATTAGATCCCAGTCATAAGGATTTCATTTGCAACAGAGCAAAACCCTCCCCAATGCTGTGCCATTCTCATCATGTCTGCCGTGCATAAGCCCATTGTTGAAGTCACAGCATCAATCCATGTCATTGACAAATTTCCTTTCCTTCACTAAAACGCCACTTTTCCAAGCTTGATGTCCAACTCCAGGAATTGGCATGACTTGATAACATGTGTACAGTGTGAAGCAGTCTCACCATTATTGCTTCTAAAGAGTGTTCTAGCTGTACCTCTTTTATTTGTTTGCCTTACAGCGATCAATGGTGTATTCTTTGCCAACACCACAATTTTAAAGCATTAGTGTTCTTTCATGTTTCCTTAATTTCTGTATTTCGGCACACACGGCCTTGTTTTCATTTGTTCAGCTTCAATTTAGATTTCCATGTGAGTAATTGATGTTCTATTCCAAAGGCTTGGACGAGGAAGCAGTCATCAGAACAGAGTAAGGAAACACTGTATAGTTTAATATCGGGAAGGGTGTATACCTAGAATGTGTCCTATCTCCATACTTTTTTCAGTCTATATGCACAACAGATCATCATAGAGGCTGGGTCCTATGAGGAGGAATGTGGCATCAGGATTGGAGGAAGAGTCATCAACAAACTACGTTATATAGGTGACACAACCTTGCTTGTGCCGAAACTGAGAAGGGCCTGAAGCACTTGTTGCAAAAGGTCAAGAACTGTAGCTTTCAATATGGATTGAAGCTCAATATTAAGAAAACAAAGATTTTTGCCACTGGGCCAATTAACAGCATCATGACAAACAGTGAAGAAATTGAGATTGTTAACAGCTTTCATTTGCTTGGCTCCACAATCAACACTCTTGGTAGTCTGCTGTCAGGGACATCTCCAGAGTACTGAAGAGCAATGATGTCAGTCTGGAAACTAAGGAGCACCTGATCCAGGCCAATGTCTTCACAATTATATATTATGAATCAGAAAGCTTGATGGTGACTAGGGATGATGGAAGGAGAATTGATGCCTTTGAGTTGTGGTGCTGGAGAAGAGTATTGAGTAAACTATGGACTGCTAAGAGAAAAGAGAAAACAAGTTCATCCTGGTGAGGATGAAACCAGGCTTCTCTTTGTAGGAAAGGATTCTGAAGCTCCATCTGTCCTTGAAGAAGGACATTATGCTTGGAGGGTGGAAGGACAGCTCAGGGGGGGAAGACCCTTGATGAGATGGATTGACTCAGTGAGTAGGGTAATGGAGATAGGTGTGTCAGAGACAATAAGGTGGGCTCAGGATAGAGCAGGTTTCAGAGCTGTTGTACATAGGATCACTATGAGTCACAGCTGACTTGATAGCACATAACAACATTCCAAAAGCAGCCCTTGGCACTTGTATACTTTTTTGTGGGTATTAAACATGTTAATGAATTTCTTTATAACTATTTATTTCTATGCCTCTTCTATCTATATGCTGAGCACATAATTGGAGAAGCTGAACTAGATGAAGAAGAATGTGGCATCAGGTTTGGAAGAAGACTCATCCACAACCTATGTAATACAGATGGCACAAACTTACTTGCAGAAAGTGAAGAGGACTTGAAGTACTTGCTGCAGAATAGCAAAGACTCTGGCCTTCAATATGAGTTACATCTCAACTTCAAGAAAACAAAAATCTTCACCAGTGCTCCAATAGGCAACATCATGATAGATGGAGAAGATTAAAGTTGTCAACAATTTTATTTTACTTGGATCTACAATCAATATCCATGGTAACAGCAGTCAAGAAATCAAAGACATTTTGCACTGGGAAAATCTATTGTAATGAACCTCTCCAAAGTTCTAAAGAGCAACAATATCTTTGTAAAAACTTAAGGATGTCTGTTTAAAGACTGACATCTCCGTTTAAAGGCCATTGTGTTTTCAATTCCTTCATATGCACTTGAAAATTGGACAGTGACTAAGGAAGGGTGAAGATTTGATGTCTTTGAATTGCAATGTTAGAAAAGAGTATTGAATGAACCACAGAATACCAGAAGAACAAACAAATCTATTTTTCAGAAAATATAACCAGGATGCTCCTTAGAGGCCAGAATGGTGAAACTTTGTCTCATTAATTTAGGGCATATTTTCAGGAAGAACCCATCCTTGGAGAAAGACATCATGCTGGTGAAAGTTAGAGGGTCAGCAAAAGAAAGGAAGACCCTAAATGAGATCAACTGCCACAGGGATTTCCACAATAAACTTGAGCATAATAGAAATTGTGTGGATGGTGCAGGATAAAAAAAGGTTCAGATCTATCCTTTATAAGATCCCTGTGAGCTGTAGTTGACTCGATGGCACCTGACAACAACAATAACTGAATTTGATTCTTGTGTATTTTATCAGGCAAGATCCATGGTGAATAGTTTTCAAGAGATAGTTGTAATCTATAATTTATTGGACATACAAAATTCTGTCACGGAGTATTAAACCTTATTTCTATCACCAAGGCTATCAATCCCAACTGCCAATCATTCTTTGTTTCAAACTTCCAGTCACCAGGACCAATGCATTTTAATTGCATATTCTTTCAACTTCAGTCTTGAAAAGTTGGTAGAAATCTTC